TCTTCACGGTTGAGAGGCAGCACAACGTGGGTAAATGGAATCTGACGCTCGGGAAAGTGCACAAGCTCAACGGTAATACTTTCAGCTGTCCAGTACTTACAGATCCTTACCTGCTTTGCTTATCTCTTGCTGACGATTCGTGTGAACCTCGCAGCCCAATCCCTGAGAGCCACCCCGCTTATCCTTCCTCTCCTGAAAGACCCGGCCATAGCTCTGATCTCGACCGGAAGCAACAGGGAGGAGTGGGTTTGCACTCAAGACGGATGCGGGAAGGCGAAGGGGAAGAGCTTTATGACCGCCTCGGACCATGTCGCCTCTGCCGCTCACATGCTGCACCTGGAGAAGTTCAGAACTGCTACTCGTGTGTCGTCAGAGAAAGCCAACCTCACCGTTGTCCGGAAAGAGTACAGCTTCTGAAGGAGTTGGAGAGCATCGGTCGATGCGCAGCAACAGTGGCTGTAGTTCTTGCAGTAGTAGGAGGTATCTGTCTTTTCACCCTGTGGATGCGTAGGGGTTCGCAAGCAGTGATTAAATGAGTAAGAAAAACCACATCACTTTTGCGGGCCTGAACGTCAACGGCCTAGGAGACGGCACTAAACAACAGCGAGTTAAAGACTGGTTCAAGAAGGCTGCCGATATTATAGTTCTCTCAGACACTAGATTAGACGCCTCACACTCCTTCTGGGCACACCCGTCGTTTACCTTCGTAGCAGCCGCCACGCCTCAAGCCAAGGCTGGTGGAGGAGCGGTGGTATGTAGGCAGCCGGCGCTTAGTTTCCGCAACATCGTAGTCCATCCTTCCGGTAGAGTCATTCAGGCAGAGATTCTTGGTCCAGGCATCAACATTACCATCTTAGCGTGTTACTTCCCTGCAGATCCGACCTCCAGAGCTGCTTTTCTTAGATTCGTTTTAGGTCCCATGGTAGACTCAATCCAGCCATCGTCGCACCTGCTCATCATGGGAGATCTGAACACAATAGAGGACCCTCTCCTAGATAAGTCATCGCAGTTAGGAACAGCAGCGGAGAATGCCAGACTTTACAATCGGTGCAGCCAGTTTCAGCTATCTGACGCCTTTAGAACACTGTACCCGTCGAAAAGGGAGTTCACCTTTTACTCACAAGCGAAAAAAGCCAGTACGAGGATAGATCGAGCGTTACTATCTCACTCTCTCTTACCTCATCTAACCCAAGCCTCACACATCATGCCAGAAGAGTACATATCTGACCATTGTTTTGCGGTGAGAGTGGCGCTGAGGACGGATGCTCAGATCCGAGTTGGTCCAGGGATGTGGAGACTACACGCGTCAATGGTTCGAAGAAGGGGAGTCAGGAGGATCGTAGAGGCGACGGTGGAGAAGGTGACGGTGTCAGATGGCAGCAGCTTTGAGTTACTACTTACCCGGCTTGGTGTTGGGCTACGCGCGTACATGAAGGAGGAGGGGAAAAGAGTCAAAGCCACGGTCTCACATCTGGTTGATATGGTGGCGGAGCTTCGGCAAGAATCGATGAGGAATCCGGCCTGCTCACGTACGACGATGCTGTTAGCAGAAAAAGAGGTGCTGCTTAAAGAGTACCATGCGGCTAAGAAGGACCGGGTGCAGCTGATGACGGGACTACGGGTGGAGCTTACCGGTGAAATGCCGTCCCCGCATCTGTCAGCAATGGTGAAGGCGAGGAAGGAAAGCACGCAAATCGCGGAGTTACAGACAGCGAGCGGCGCAGTCTCGGACTCTAAAGGGATCTTGGAGGCAGCATCGACTTTCTTCGCGGGTATTTTCGGAGAAGACAGATGCCGTCTCAAGGAGAACTGGAAGCCGATAAAAGGGAAAAAGCTGGAGACGTGGGAGGCAGAGGAGCTGGCAGCTGACTGGACAGAAGAAGAGGTGAAGGCAGCTTTTGGAGCGATGGCGGCTAACAAGTCGCCTGGAAAGGATGGGTTGCCGAAAGAACTATTTGAAGCGCACTGGGACCTGCTGGGTAAAGGGTTTATGGTAAAGGACTTCGCGACTTCTGCTTCACTCTCCACCGATGTCAAAGAAGCCGTTACGATACTCGTGCACAAGAAGGGGGACAAGGATCAGTTGAATAATTATAGACCGATAACTCTTCTAAACTTCACCTACAAAGTGCTGGCGAGGGTGATTGCTGACAGAATGAAGAAGGTGCTGGGAAAGGTGATTTCAGAGGAGCAGTACGGCTTCCTGCCGGGGAGAAGACTCACGGACGCAGTGGGATTGATCGCCGATGTGATTGATGCGGCTCGGAACAAGAATAAGGACTGGTTTCTGTTACTCGTTGACTTCAAGAAGGCATATGATTCGGTGTCGAGGGACTACACCTTCAAGATCTTGAGGGAGATGGGTTTCCCGGAGCGGCTGGTTGGCTGGGTCGAAGGACTGCACAAGGGAACACAGACTCGGCTGTTAATAAACGGATGGTTCGGAGATGGAGTGGAAGTACTATCTGGGGTAAGGCAGGGATGCCCGCTTGCTCCATACCTGTTCCTCTGCGCAGTAGAACCGTTGGCGCAAGAGGTGTGGCGGAAAAAGCTGGGGCTCAGCAAGGCGGATGAGCGTCTCTCGTACATCGGGTATGCCGACGACACCACACTGATTCTGGAGGGGAAGGAGCAAATCATTAAGGCGGAGAAGGTACTGGAGAAGTTTAAGCTTACCTCGGGGCTGGAGACGAATGTGGAAAATTCAGTCATCCTGCTGCTGGGCGATAACCTGCACAGGCACTCATGCAGACCACAGAGTTTCCGATGGGCGGGAGCGGATGAGGCAGAGAGACTGCTGGGAATTTGGGTAACACCGGCAGGAAGTTGTCAGCCAACATGGGAGAAGGCGGGGGCAAGCGTGGTCGGAAAACTTAAAACATGGGAGAAAAATTATCTTGCGACGAAGGCGAGAGCGGCGGTGGTGAACGGCTACTTTATGTCGGTGGTGGCGTTCCAGGCGCAAGTATATCCGCCGCCGCCAGTAACCTGGAATGCGCTCTCTAAGACGTTCCAGAACTTTGTATCCGGGAACAAGGCAACGGCTGACAGGGTGTTCCGGTTGTGGAGTAAGGATCTCCTGCACACGTCAAGGGAGGATGGGGGAGTTGGAGTATGTGACCCGGAGATGATCCTTGCTTGTCTCTCGGCAAGGAGGGTGGGGCTGCTGATCACGGAGAAGAACGTGCTCAAGAAAGAGATCATGATGTGGGCGGCTGAGCTTCCTATGGGCATTGAGTCTTTCTTCGCACATGATAAACTACTGCGGCGATGGGAAGGGCGAAGTGCTCGGTGGAAAAATTGCGTGTGAAAACTTTATGAAGTCGCCGCTGGGGGAGTTGCCGGAGATTGTTACTCGGGAGGCTGCGGAGGGAGAGCGGATAGTGTTTAACAAGCGTATTCTCCTCAGGGGGTCCACACCAGTTGGAGGGCAGAAGGACGCGAAACCTTTGTGGGAGATGAGGCTGGGACACTTGATCAACTATGACAAAGAAGGAATTCCCACACTAAGAGGGATGGAGTCACTGGAGAGGGAGCTGGGGGGGAAAGGACCAGCTAGGTTGGCACTGAAGGCTTTCGATGCGGCGCCTGAGACATGGCGGGCTCTGCTGCTAGACGGTTCCTACAGAGAGCAATCAAACCCTAGCACGGCTGGCTCTCATCGCAAGAGATACATCCCACCTGGAAGAGATTTCACGCTTCTACCGATCTTTGAGAAGGGGAAGGTGGTGCCGATGAGGCAGCTGAAAAAACTGTGGAAGAAAGGGCAGAAGGCATCAGTGAAGCAGCAACAGTGGTCGGGCAGGTGGAATGGGAGGATTGACTGGAAAAGGGCAATCTCGGTCAGAGAGTCCCTGGCTACTCCAAGCAGGCCAAGGGATGTTTTGCTAAGGGTGCATAACCTGAACCTACAGGTGGGGGAGCGACTGTCATTTCTAAGTGGACAACCGAAATGTCCGCACTGTGGGGGAGAGGAGACTTTGGAACATTGCCTTTACGGCTGCCCCAAAATCCAGACGGTGCTTACAGCACTCAAACGGACTCTTCGTATGATCAACAGCTCGAGGATGATTTCGTCGCTAGGGGACCTTCTCTTCCAGAATCCATGCTCCAGCTCAGCGTTTCCAGAGGCGACAATAATTGCCATCACAATCCACCAGGTGTGGTTGGAGCGCTGTCAAGCTGCTTTCAGAGGGCGGAGATTCAGGACGAAACGGGTGTTGAGGAGGATTGAGCTGGCTTTCCGGCAACATGCAAGGGTGTACATGCGGGCAAAGGAGGATGTACGAAGGAGGCAGGTGGCTACGGACAAGAAGGGATCGTTTCGGCGCGCAAGAGAGGAGGAGATAAGATTGGTAGATAAACTGAGGGACAGTAGCAGCAAGAAGTGGAAGTGGAACAGTGCGTTCGTTGCCATCTGGCAGCTGCCGAGGAACAATCACAGACCACCATAGTTGTCAAACTGGGGTAGCCACGTAGCTGCCTCTCACGCACAGTTACGACTGTTATTGCTGTATACATCTGCTGTACTTGGTGTATATATCAATTACCAAAAAAAAAAAAAAAAAAAAAAAATCGAACCGATTCTTGTGGGTGAAATTGCGTGGATTCGTGCGATTCTGCCGAAAAAATCGCCAAAAGTTGCCGTCCAAGGATACCTTGACGTCACAGTCATCGCAAGCACCTTAGTCGGCAGGTAGAATTTACCAGCTCGGTGGCTCGAACCCGGAACTTCCCTTTCAGGAGGCCCCACTCTACTGTCTAGGCCAATTCATCTTTCCAACGATTAGCATCATTTAAACCTAACACTGATTTTTCAGGGTTTTGTTTTTAATGAACCCTGCCAGAAAGTTTTTTTACAGGGACCAACACTGACGAATCAGCGTCCTCCAAAACCAATCTGAGAGCCTGGTCTCAACATATACGGTAATGCCGCAAAAGTGGGATCTTAACACTAAAAACAAGGCTAAGAAGCAATGCAGAGAGGCACCTCCAACAACCTACCTATGGCCTCCAGCACCCCCCGCCCCACCCGCTGCGCCCCCCGCAGACTCCACAGGGGGAGGAGGGGCCTTGTACCCCATCTTCCTTCCCAGCTCCGACAGCTGCTCCACAAACTGACTCCCCGCCAGCATCTCAGTCGTCCCATACACCACCGTGCGCACTCCTGCCGCCCCGCCCCCTGCTCCTGCCTTCCTTGCCATCTCTTGCAGACCCCCATACTCCATATAGTTTCCCCCTCCAATCACAAAGACAATTGCGTCCCGGACTGGCCCCCTGCTGCCCCCTGCTGCTGTGCTGCTGTTTCCCCCCTTGGGGGCCTTGGGGTCGAGGCAGAGAAACGAATCTGTATCCTGCCCAGGCCGGCCCTCCATGAGAGCTTCAACTGCCCGGGTCAGCTGCAGCTGCCTGCCCCCAGCCAAAAGATTCTTCACACCAGCAGTCACACGGGACAAACCCTGCCCAGCAAGCCGCCCGGCCCAATCCAGCAGATCATCCTTGCTGCCGCCCACGCCGCCCACTCCTCCGGCCCCACTCCCCGCGGCAGCCACGGCAGCAAAGCTCGAGTTGACCCGCTTCACCTGCTTGATGTAATGCAGAGCGGCCAGGTCCACTTGCTGCTCCCTCAGCGCCGCTTCCACCGCCTCCACATCCCCCGCACTCGCATTGTCCGTCGCCATCAGGTAGATTATCGCAAGCCGTAGCTTATCCTCCTTGGACCCCTTCTTCCTGAGTAAATCGAGCATCGCCGCCCGGTCCGTGCTGCCGCGCGTGAGCAAATCCTCCTCCATGGAAAAGTACGCGTCGAGCGCGCGCGATTTGATCTCCTCGAGAAGGGTCCCGCCGATGGTGACGTGCTTGTCGATGACTCGCTTGCGCTCCATCAGCTGCGGCACGGCGCTCATGGCGGCCGACAGCTGCTTCGTGCGCCCCATCACGTCCTCGTCTTCGGCTTCTGAGAACGCGTCGCCTGTGGGCGAGGCCGCGTTCACCTGCTCCTTGTCCTGCGCCCACTTCTTCAACAGCATGTCCACCTGTGAGTGAAGAGGGGAGCAGCGGCCAGGATGAAGGCGAGTAGGGGAGAGGGGAAACCGAGAGTTGCTGCCTTGACTTGCTCTTCACCCTTCATCCATCTCTCAAGCAACAAGCCAACTGATGGGGGCGAACTAAAGCAGGATGGCAGGACGGATGGCATGAGGCATGGCAGGAAAAAAGAGAGGAAGGGGGATAAGTGGGGCGCCTTACACACTCAATCCACCTCCACCGCACCCAACCTCCCTCTACCACTCACCGAAACGCGCCTCCAAATGATCCACCCAGAAGCCATCCGAGCCATGAAGCTCACGAGCAGTCACCTCAGCAGAGACACCCAGCACCACACTCAACCCCCTTCCACCAGACTTACCAGCTCGGCCACCTTGGGATGCGGCAACACCGAATGCACCACCCAGAAGCTTTCCTAATCATCCAGCTCATAATTAAACACCTTGGCCTTCCTTCCTCCCCCACCCCTCAACACACACAGTACCAGCACCACATCAACACACCACTCCACCGAACTCAACCCCCTTCCACCATACTCACCGCCTCAGCCGCCTTGGGAAACGGGGACTCCGAATGCGCCACCCAGAAACTGTCCGAATCATCGAGCTCATAACTGGTCGCCTTGGCTCCACCACCCGCCCCAGCTCCCTTCAGCACCGGCGACAGCGGCCCGCTCCCTGCCCCCGCTCCCCCTGCCGCCCCTCCCTTGTGAATGCTCACTCTATTGAGCCTCATCCCCAGCACATCATGCACCAGAGGTCGGTACGTCCACTCATGCTGCACCCCCACCGCCAGCTCGAAATTCCGATCCGCTATGAACAGCAGCGGCCGCTGAAACAGCCCCAGCGCACCCCCTCCCCCTGCCCCTGCTCCCGCGCCCCCTCCCCCAGATGCCACAGCCGCCGCCCCTGCTGCCAGCGCGCCAGCCGCTGCTTCCTTGAAGAGGTTGTTGTGCGTGGCGAGGTGCGCCCTGAGCTTTGCATCCAGCTGCCTTGCTACCATCTCCGCTGGCCCCCTCTCCGGACAGCGGATCACCGGCACCACTCCCAGCGTCACCAGCACGCAAAACAGCCCGTTCACGATACTCTCCACTGCCCCCTCCACGTCCTTGTCCTTCGCCATTGGGTCGTTCAGCCGCACGTAGCTCTCGGGCTGCCCGAGCGAAAACAACCCGTGGTCAAGACACACAAACTCCAAGTACTGGTCGAACACCCGTGCCACGCGGTGCAGCGCGTTGGCCTTGAGGGTCCCGGCTGCGAGGTCTTCTAGGAGCAGGCGAGGCACGGAGGAGGTGAAGTTGAGATGCATCTTGTCGTACGTGGCGCGCGTGGCGTCCAGCACGAGGCGCTGCATGTTGCCCGCCGTGGGCTGCAGGAAGTACACGGCCGGCACGTCCGGGATGGGCTGGCGCTCCGCGTCCACCATCAGGTGCAGCGTTATGCCGTGCCTGCGCAGGTCGGACACCTGCGGGGAGGGGAGGAAGGGGGAGTGGGGGGCGAGAGAGGGAGCAAGGGAGGATGGCGTGGGCACGTCTGGGATGGGCTGGTGGGGTTCACCATGAGATGGAGAGTAATAACGTGCCTGCGAAGGTCGGATACCTGCGAGGAGGGGAGCGGAAGTGGGAAAGGGGCTGGGGGGAATAGGGACGACTGTCAGGCAAGACGCGGTTTCACGAATATCTGTCCCGCCGCCGCAGCAGCAGCAGCAGCAGCAGCGGCGGCGGCGGCGGCGGCGGCGGCGGCGGCGGCGGCGGCGGCGGCGGCAGCAGCAGCAGCAGCAGCAGCAGCAACAGCAACGGCAGCAACAGCAACGGCAGCAGCTTGTACACGCCGCCGCCCGATGACAGAGATGCCTCATGCCGCCTTGATCATCGGTCCCACCCTACCTAGGGGAAAGCATAGGTCTCACCTTAAAGCAGGAGGAGAGAGAGAGAGAGAGGAGGCCTCACCTTGAGGAGCGGCGAGAGGAGGTCTCACCTTGAGGAGCGGCGAGATGAGGTCTCACCTTGAGGAGCGGCGAGATGAGGTCTCACCTTGAGGAGCGGCGAGATGAGGTCTCTCGAGTATTTATCGAGCAGCAACACCTTGTACACGTCGCCGTCTGACGACAGCCCGCCACCCACCGTGACTGTAACGGGGCTGTTGAGGTTGAGCATCCGCACGATGGTGTCTGGTGGTGCGCACGGGCGAACAGTGGGATGGAGGGGGGTGAGGAACGGTGAGTGGGGGTTGTAGGGGTAAGTGCAGGCAAGGATGAGAGAGGTGCGTAACGGGGCTGTTGAGGTTGATCATGCGGACGATGGTGTCTGGAGGAGCGCATGGGCGAACAGTGGGATGGAGAGGGGTGAGGAACGGTGAGAGGGGGTTGCAGGGATAAGCGTAGGCAAGGAGGAGAGGCAAGAAACGGGGCTGTTGAGGCATGCGCGCGAAGGCGTATGGTGCGCATGAACGAACAGTGGGACGGGGAGGTGAGGAACGGTGAGAGGGGGTTGCAGGGATATGCGTAGGCAAGTCGGAGAGAGAGGCGTGACGGGGCTGTTGTGGTTGAGCATGCGCGCGAAGGAGTCTCGTGTGCACGGACAAACAGTGGGACGAGGGGTGAGGAACGGTGAGAGGGGTGAAATGACGCGCGATCAGGGAAGGGATGGAAGGGGTACAGAAAGCAGCGAGGCAGAGAGGCAGCGAGGTAGAAGCGTCCAATCGCGTGCCAGCAATGATCTGCCAGGCTTTTAAGTCAGTAAATTCCAATCGCACGCTTCCGACAATCTGCCAGACAGCGACGGGCCCGAAGAAAGCTTCTGCTGCTACCTCTCACACGTTCTGCTGCTACCTCTCACACGTTCTGCTGACATGTCGCGTCCCCACCATCGCTCACCTATCTGCTTCTGTCGCAGAGAGAGCGCCATGTTTTCGCCTCTCTGTCGACACCCCTACTATCGCTGAAGCGACTGTCGCGGATGCCTGCTGCCTGCGACGCGCGGGAGGACGATCACCGAATCTACGAATACTCGAGGCGGAATTCACAGGTCCTGGCGTGATTATAACGCGGACGCTTGCAGAGTATGCGACATCAGATGACACCAATAGTTTTGCACTAAAGAAACAAGAAGAAACAACGGAATGTAACAACGGCGGTGTTTGCCGAGAACGCGCACGTCTCTGCCTCTGATCGGGACTAAGTCATCGCAAATACTCTCCAAGATGCTTTCAAGAGATGCTCGACCAAAATCACAGAATCGCTCTGCCAGCGATTGACGGCGAGTGTACGGAGGTCGTTTGAATGTAGAGTGGCAGAAGTAGGTTTTCCTTCTCGGTCCCAGGGTGAGGGAGCGGAGATGACTGAACCTAGGGATTGGCGAATTTGAGCTTTGAATAAATTTTCATTTGTTGTGGTGAGGTCTGGAAGCAGGGCAGATCCAAGCCGAACCGTTTTCCCGCACTCGAGCAATGCCTCGAACCAGGGCAAGTCTGACACCTTCCGTACGCGCTAGAAAAGTTTTGAGATACTAGGCGCTTTGGCTGTTTACGCCAGCTTCTATGTAGAGTTCTAGATATTTCTTTTACAACAAAGAGGAGAAATGGAGCGTCCGGCTGGTGAAGAAGCTGTCCTAACGACGAGTACTAACGTTCTGCCATTTGTTCCTCAAGCAAGTTCAACGCCAGGAAAAAAAAAATCAATGCAGAATCACGCAAATTCAGTCAAGCAAGCTGTGCTATTGCAAGGGGCAAATGGAAATGTATTTGGTGCTATCATGGATTCGGTAGTGAGAACAAAGGGCTTGTGGTAGGGTCCGTGCTTAAAATAAACTTCAATAAACAGTGCCCGATAGCCCACCTGAGTCATGGAGCACGAGGGAGAGATCAGAGTACAATGTGGGAAAAGTGCATTCATGGTGAAAGAAGGTTATGACCATGGTAAAAGATGGGTCAAGGCATAAAGGGAACATCTGATAAAATAAGCAGAGAAAGTGGGCATTGAACTGTGTGGGCACTTCGGTTGGTGAAGAGCAGGATATAGCATCAACTGGTGGGAACTTGAAGAAACCAGGTTGTTTGAAATACATTACAGCTGGAAAAGCCACCAAAGGTATGACAGAATGGTAACTGAAGCAGAGCAACACATGCTGTTCCCCTTTCATGGGGCAACATTCCTTGTCATTCACACCTTACTTGGAATCGATTACCCATAAGAAAATTACCACATCTCTACACTTCATTGAACTTTTAGCACTTCGTTGAAAGTTAATACACTTAATTACAATTATTTCCCTTCACCACGCGCAATCACCACTTGATCACGCTCACCTTGGGAATGTCTCTGATGGAGGAATTGAAGTACCAGAGCCCATCAGGCTGTAGCGCGGGCGGCGAGACGGCATGCAGGACGAACGGGATGGGCTGCAGACAGAGCGTGCCGAACTTGCCTATGTAGCTGTCCGACGCACTCTTGAATGGCACCGTGCTGGCGATGACGAGGGGAGGAGGGGCGGAGGGGAGGAGGGGAGGAGGGGAGGAGAGGAGGAGGGGAAGAGCGGAGCAGGGGAGGAGGGAAGGAGGGGAGGAGGGATGGTGAAGGTAAATGGAGAGGTAAGGGTAGAGGAGGGAACTGTTGCTCATTCAGCAGCGAATGCACATCCACATGAACTGGTCTTGACAGACAAAAAAGTGTGTCTTTTCCACCAGGCTATTCACTCACCACCCGGTGAGCCCTCTCTCCCCTGCATGGCACTCACCACCCGGTGAGCCCCTGCTTCACAATGAACCGGAAGTCCCGCCGCTTGCTGCCTTGAATCGTGCGACCAGTCCTGCATTGCAGCAAGGGAGAGGGGGGCCATGGGAAGGAGGCGACAGACAGGGAGGAACGGGGGGGAGAGTGGGGAGGAATGTTATGATGTGACCCACAGCAATGCGACTCACAGCAATTTGACTCACAGCAATTTGACTCACAGAAATTTGACTCACAGCAATTTGACTCACAGCAATTTGACTCACAGCAATTTGACTCACAGCAGTGTGACTCACAGCACTGTGACTCACAGCAGTGTGCCCCACAGCAGTGTGACCCACAGCAGTGTGACCCACAGCACGAGTTCAATTGCAGAGACAGTTAAATGTTTATGCATCACAGTCATCCAACCCGCACCCCCTTGCTCTAGCAGCCCTTTCCCTTACGGCATGTCTGAAGCATCTGAAGCATCGGCCGGTAGAATGGAGGAATGGAGAAGGGCGGGGCCTGTGGGAGTGGGACCATTCATGTGCAGTCAAGCCAACATCCCCTATCTTTCCCCAGCCTGCTGGGCAGTGCTTTGGAGGTTCCAATAACGGGGAAAATATAAAAGAGTCAACATCTCTTGCTTTCT